ATGGTAACTTTTTATGATGACATTCCATGAAAATAATTTGGTGATGACTGACAGAAGCAGAACATTCCCTTGGGCCATGCTACTTAATTACATCAGATGATGTACTCATCAGTAAAATGACACTCCTATGCTTGTCAGCATGCTATACTGAATATCCTAGTTCCATCTGGGGTAAATGAAGTCATTTCTCCAGTTTTCTTTTCTGTTCTAAAAAAATTAAAAATGCACATAATCTTCAGTCTAGTTAGCACATATGAAGCAACCACACCATTCCCTGTCCTCCAGCTTGTGTTGTCAGCAATGACTTAAACTCTGATCACAGTCATCAAATCCAAATATATGTGGTCTTTGGATTGATCTCAATTCAAAGTAAAGAAAATAACAAAATATATGCTAAATCAAAGGAGAGTAACTTACCTGATTGGTGAGTGTGGGATAGGGAAAGGGACCTGAGTAGCTCTTCCCATTCCTCTCCCCTTCCTTTCGAGATCCAACCCACATGCAGAGAACACAGACTCTCAATCACTCCCTACATGCAGGGGAGGAGTAGTGGGGCCAGTGCTTTCTGTTTCTAGATAGATAATCTATGTAATTCTGGAGTTTAGTATTAGGAAGTCCCTTGCTCCTGGATGTGTCACCTTCTCCAATGTAATCATAATCAGTAATAGAGGTTGGTAAGAATATTCTAATCTCCAAATGCCAATCCTTTTGCCTTATTTCTTGATTGGTTCAGAACCCCAGGCATAAATTGGAGATGCTAGTTTTTAGGCTCATCCAACATCTGTAACGATATATTTGGATGGGAAGGAGTTTCCCTGCCAATGATGCCTTTCAGAGGAGTCACATGACAGGGAAGAAATGGTTCCCTTCTAGTAACATTGCTCTATTCAGTCATATACTGGAAGCATCTCAGAGAAAGTGTGGCCTTGGCGTGAATGCCCTGGTGGACCCAAAGGCGTGACAGCTGGAACTGTCAGTCAACTGCACTTGCCCAGTAGGTTGTCTTTCTCATTCTGTATCTCAGTTGGTCTCCCAATCCCATGAGATGTGTGTGTGTGTGTGTGTGTGCATGCACGTGTAACTTAATGAAGGTGGACTGAATATGCAAATATTTCTACATAGGGATATATGTAGTCATACAAGTAAAATTATACATATATAATGTATCACACATGAGAGTACTTCAAAAAGCTTGTGGAAAAATAGAATTGAAAGATAATATGAGTCTTTCCATGAACTTTTTGAAGTGCTCTTGTATTACATATAAGCATTAGGTACACTTAACATTTACAAACAAAAGTTTAGAGACAGATTAGGCCATATTAAGTCATACTGTATAGTGGAAAAATCTCCTAATTCGTGTATACACAGACAGATGTGCAGATTTAACTCTTGATACGGTCATTCATCAAATTTCTATAGAATTTATATGAGGAATATAAGAAATAATAAATGTGAATGTGTTAAATTGGCAGGTTCTAAACACATGTTAATCATTATTATTACACATTTACCATTACATCAGATGCCAAAATATTTTCAAGTGAGTATGTTCAGTATGCCTTAAATGTATTTAGACAGAACAAGTTAAAAAGCAAAAGAACCAGTGGGGTAGAGCATAATAAAAGCTGGGTATAACCATTAAAATTAATGTAGGTGAGCACCTCAAGCCCAAGTTTATATAATGCAGGGTCCAGCGATCTCAAGAACTATCAGCCCTACAAATTGGACATTCCTAACTATGGAAATAAGCCTAAGCTTATAGACCTAGAATAGGAAAAAAGAAAATTAACCCAAAATTAATAAAATCTGGTGGGCCACTAAGAATTCTAGTACCAATTCAAAACTCGGCCTTGACACTAAGTGATGTATTTATTATTCTGTGGAAATTGTGGATGGCTTCTCCTTATTTTTTCATCTTGACCTTCAGCCATTTCTTTGCTCTGTAGCACTTCTGAAACTTTGCAGAAAGAATTTTGGAAAGTTTTTTAATATAAGTTACAGTCTTTCATTACATAATTGAAATGAAGCTTTCGAGGGCAGATGATCCGATAACATGATCAAAATCATATTAGAGGGCCGGCCCGGTGGCGCACTGGAGAGTGCGCCGCTTGAGAGCGCAGTGGCGCTCCCGCCGAGGGTTCAGATCCCATGTGGAGACCAGTTCCCGCTCACTGGCTGAGCGTGGTGTGGGCGCAACACCGAGGGTTGCGATCCCGTTACCGGTCAGTAAAAAAGACAAAAAGAAAAAAAAAAAGAAAAAGAGATTAGAGGATCCATTCTTTTTGTTCATGGATTTGAATTGCATATGGTTTTTTTAAAAGGAGACATACAATTGTTAGATCTCAATATGCCTCATTCTCGAACAGCTTGAATTATGCACAATTGGGGTGCAGGGAACATTGCGTCCGGCCTGACAGGGAAGAGTTAGTTTTTCTGAAGATAAGTTCCCGCTCACTGGCTGAGCGAGGCGCGGGGGCAACGCCGAGGGTTACAATCCCGTTGCCGGTCCCCGGTCCGGTATGGGGGCAACACTGAGGGTTGCGATCCGTTGCCGGACACGGAAAAAGACAAAAGACAAAAAATATATATATATATATGGTCTGAAAACCAGCAGCATCAGCTTCCAGGAGTTTGTTAGAAATGCAGAATCTCAGGCCACCCGAATTTTAGCCAGATTCCCAGGTGATTCAATTGTCCATTAAAGTTTGAGAAGCACTGTTGTAAACTTTTGAAAACTGCAAATTGGGCAAAAAATAGCACTTGTATCAGTTGAGATGGAAGGAAAAACATGTCATTAAAGCTATATTATTGTATCGTGAGTTAAACTGAGGAAAACGTCCATGTTTACTATCCTTCACATTCTCAAAAATGATTAAAACCAAATCCATCCATTGCCTTTAACAAAGAAAAGTGCTTAAATTGAACCGCAAGTTTGATTTAATATGTCAATGACATTGCTCTTTGAAGACTCTACCTAGTAGCTTTCATGGAAGTGAAATGATTTTAAAAATCAAAGAGCCAAGCACAAAGCTCTTATTAAGTGACCAGTGGTAGATTTGGTAGGTTTGAAATTCCAAGAACTCATCATTACAGCAGAACTAATGCATAGTATACTAATAAATTTGCCAGGAAAAGTACTGAGCCTCATAAATGTTTGAGAACAATAAAATTCTGGTCGCTGGTAATGTGAGAAAAACCACTAATATTTACAGCCAACTGGATTCACTTAATAGGATTTAAATGATGTAGAGAGAAGACAGAAAATACGTCCCAATATGTTCATTGAATACAAAACGGAAAAAAATTAACAAATAAAAGTATTCACACTGTGAAAATTGAGTGAAAAAGAGAAAATCCATGTTTGGATTAAGAAAGCCTTCTCACTGGGATTCTTTTATGTAGTTTTATTCTGACATGTTCTCTCTTATTACTGCTAAAGCCGTTTGATTCAATGCTAAGTTGACATTTAATACTTGACAGAATACATTTCTGATAAGAAGACAAAAATTAGTGACCACATAGATAAAACAGAGATGATTGGGAGGGATTCTGTCTGGAGTTGGATTCCGTCTCTGACACCAGGGCATACTTGGCTGGAAAACATTTTTTTTCACTTAATGATAATCTTTAACAGTTATTGGACTGTCTGCCTGCTTTCATTTTCTTTCCCTCTGGCAAACTTCCATTCGCTCTGGCTTTAGCAACAGTAAAAATAAGTAAATTTGACTCAACAGAGACAAGTATTACTTTACAAGTACATACTGAAAATCTACCTAAGGTTTGGCTTGTTATTTTTGAAACCGATGCTAATTTTAAGCAACAATTCAGAGAACCCCAAGGGGTTTACATGAGCTCATCAGTAGCAAAATCATTTTTAAATAATCTTAAATGTTTTAAAGAGCAAGAAAGAAACTCTTTAAACTGCTGAATCACTTGGCATATTCCACATGCCCACCTAGAGTTCTCGTTCCCCAGATGAGTAGAATTGTAAGTAAAACCTCACTGCATGGCAGCATTAAAGGCGAGATATTCGGTTCTTGATTTTCTGTATTGAGATGACCATGACATCGTAGAACTTGATTTGAGGCCCAGAGGTGAAGTCTTAAGGGGTGAATTTAATGCTCTCATAAATGTTTTAGTCTCATTTTATCAATCATATGGGAAACAGTTAACACTGTGTTGAGCAAAAGAAGACGGTAACAAGGAACTTAAAAGGCGGGGAGAAAAGGTACAAGAATCAAGAAGCCACCCTCATGCTGTGATAAACATCTGCAGGCTTCAGCAACTGTCAGTTGAAGCAATTTGAATAGTAAATGTTTTTATCTCAGAAGAGAGCTACACTAGAGCCTTTGACACTGGTGCAAACGTGGGAGGCATAAAGCTGATACTCAGGGACCAGATGAGAGCTATGACTGGGCCTGTGTCTCAACGCCTGCTGTCACCAGTCTTTAGGAAACCAGGAACTAACACAGGAGGTGAGAAGGGGCTAGGGCACCATCCTGGACTGAACTGACCTTACGAGGGAATCTGCTTCATGCCCCTACCAACCTAAAATCGTAGAATGTTCGAAGGAGCTAAAAATATTCAAAGGAATACTCCATTCCTAGAAAGGAGGCTTGAGGCTCCCCATATGCATCCCTTTAGAGAAAGAAACTGAGGGACCCAGGGAGTTAAAAAAATCCATTCCAAAATCCACATCATCACATAAATGAGATATTACACTTGATTTCCCTTCAAATTAGTTCAACTCTGTCCAATCACATGAAATTAAGATTCTATAAACATGCAAACAGCCCTATATTCTCCTTAAAGCTATTTTTTTCCTCAGTCTTGAACAGCTAAATGTACATGCCCTCCACAATGCAAAACTAAAGCATTATAAGGGCTTTCCTGGACCCTCAGTGACCATTGAAAGTGCTTGAAAATACACAAAATTATAGAAAAATAAAGAAGATATTTAATAGACATTAGCTTTTTCATCTAGACAGAGACAGCTATTTGCTTTAGCAAACACTGGGTCTTTTAGAAGACAGTGTCAATTTTATTGCTTTTTGAAATGCTGCATAAAGCAAAGAACCTTACAATTTGCACAATAAGCAATTTCCATCTTTAAGTTTAAATATATTTATGGGACAAAGAGAAGTACATGCATATGAATATGTAGAATTTTTAGAAATCATCATTTACATTAGAAAATTCTGTATACAAACAACTTAACTTTAACATAATATCAGCAAATAGCAAGAACCCTCTGAGACTGCAGAAAGTCCAGCTTTCCATTTAAGCAGCTTTTACTGAGAAACGTGAGTGATGGCAGAAGAAGGCCTCTTAAGAATAGACTCAACAGAAAATGACAGCGGTTCATTCACCGAGAGTTTTGTTCCAACTTGTTTGGCTACGAAAAGGTCTTTTGCGCATCTATCTATTGTAAAAGTGTACTTCTGGTTCTCCTTGACTAAACACTCTCTGTGTTTCTTAGAGGTTTCTTCAAAGGCCTCTTTGACAAATGGTGTTTTCAACTCAGGACCTGATTTGTCATTAAGCGTTTGCTGGAATAATGCATGGAATGGATTATGTCTAAGTGGCAGAGGGTGCCTCGTGTTTTCTTTGCTGATCTTGGTTAAGACGTGCCCTTGAGCTGCCAAGGAGTCCGTGTCAACAATCGGAGAGAAATTCCGTCGGGGTGGGGAGAATGCAGACCTCTCGGGGACAGCCTGGTGACCCTGAAGGTCACTTCTGGAGGTCTGGACCTCAGGAGTGTGAGGCAGCACCAGGGAGCCTTCCAATTTCGGAGGCATCATGTCATGTTCCGCACTGAGTCCGTCCTGGACTCGTGTTCCCTTCAAGTCCCAGCTGGCCCCAGGTTTCAGGGCTTGAACTGAAGTGGTGGCATTTAGCAGGCATTGCTGGTAGAGGAGAGCGTCACTAATGGGGCCACACTTGGGCCAAACTAAAAGTCTCGAGGACAAGGGATACTGTCTGTAAGTTGTGGCCACGCTAACATTGGAAGAAATCAGTTCCATATTACCAGACCCTGAATACTGCATGGTTAGATCAAGGCAGGTGGGCAAAAAATTGCAGAAGTCTTTGCTTGGTGCTTCTACTGGGGTGGGGCTGTAGGCACTTTTGTAGGAGTTGTATTCAGGTCCATGCACCATGCGGTTGGGCAGGAACAAGGCAGCTTGGGAAGTTTCCAACATTTCCCTCTCTTTATATTCTCTCTCCAGCATAATGTTCTCCAACTCTTTATCAGCAAAGGCCCTTCTTTTCCTCATCCTGTCACTAACTGGGGGAGGCAGAGGTAAGGTCCCTCCTACATAAGTCTCTGCTGGAATGGGGCGATAGCCTAAAATAAACAAACATTGCATGTGAAAAAAATTAACATATAGAGAAGAAAATGTAGAAATCCAGAAGGCAACAGAAATACTACAAATTAGCAGAACAAAATTATTCACAGGTATATATCACTAATAACTTTACACACAAGCAAAAGTATAGGTTCAATTTTAAATAGTTCCCTTTGGGGGAAGGATATTCATATTGCAACTTTTTGTTGTTAAAGGTTTGTTTGCATGTTTGCTTTGAAAGGTGTACTTTATTGACTAAAATTTTAATATTCTTCTCAAACTCTAAACATTAAGAAACAAGGTCGCTCATCCTTCAACCAATGTTTTATTATTATCCATGTCATCTTTTTTTCATTATAAAAAAGATATCTATACCTAGAGCCGATGTCACTTTTATTTTCTAAAGATGGCTCATTATGTACCCATTGTTACAGTTGTAGAATAATCCAAGGAGAACTAGGAAAAAAAGAGAAAGAAAGAAAGTTAAAGGAGATTAGTGAGTAGAAAAAGAAAAAAGACTTAAGAAAACAGAGAAGCATAGAAAATTGAAAAGAGCTGTTAACTAGTTAAACACACTCTGCAGTGAGCAATTTAACCAGGCTCCTTACCCTGACTACCAGTACGAACAAAAGAAAAAAAGAGGGGAGGGGAGGTGTTATTCCTGCTATTTGAAAATAACTGGTCTAAAACATTTTTTTCCAAGCTCTAATCATGCTAGCCAGATACCAAAGTGATAGAAAAAGCAATCGTCAGAACACAGATGAAGTCTTCCCACATTTCATGAATAGGGACAAAGTTAAAAGCAAAGGTCAGTGTAACATAAATAGAACTCCTGGAGGCATATACTTGCACTTTGAGCATGTCATCGTGCCCAAGTACTCACCTCTATCAAATTTGTTTAAAAGATCCATTGTGATATTTGTGTTTACATAATGACAAACCCATCGTACTCATTTGCAAATAAAATAAAATTTGAAAATTAATGTTTCCATTTCTATGGTAAGTTTGTGCCAGGAAGCTATTTACTTAAATTTACTATTCTGCTTAGTCCTCACACTTCTCAAGTTGCCTTGGCACAACTTCAATTTATCAATGTGGTCCATATGGTTATAAATCTATTTACCCATTTTGTAACCAAATTCACTTTTAACTCATGAGAAACCACTCTAAGGGCAAAAGTATACAACACAGGGTGAGACATGAACGAACTTTAAAACCTGTCTAGAACTAACTGTATTCAGAAGCTACACAAGAAAAAAAAGTCAAATGTCTACTTTTTTAAAAAAAATCTACTTTTTAACCTGAATTTCATGAATTGGCAGTGATTAAAGCAAATATAAACTTTCCTTTATTTAAATTGAAAGGAAATTTAAAGAAAATGGTGAAAGATAATCAATGTACTATTTGGCAGGTCAATAAATAAATTCCATATCCAAATAGAGATGCTTTAAAAATCAGTAATCTTCGAAGACAAATTAACATATCCCCAGGCTTTACAGAAAGTGAACAAATGGGGGAGGAGAGAGAAAGGGAGAGGCAGAGAGACTTCACACGCACGTTCAAACGCAACACTCAAAACCTTTTTCAGATCCTACAACCTTGGCTGTCAAAAATGGTAAGATGAAGTGTAAAATAACTGCAATTACCTAGAGGTAATTTCTCCCTAGATAATCCAGGGAGAAAAATAATACAATGAAAAAGAGTGGAATCCGAGATTGAACCCACAGACTAGAGGGCTTCACTGGTCATGAGGAGCTGTTAAACTCCTCACCCGACTTACGCTGTCCATTTAGTTCCTGCTACAACTAAGCCAAGTGGCTTTTTTTGTTTGGGGGGTTTTGGGGGTGGGGGAGAGGGGTTGTTTGGGTTTGTTGTTGTTGTTGTTGTTGTTGTTGTTGTTGTCACCCGACTTACGCTGTCCATTTAGTTCCTGCTACAACTAAGCCAAGTGGCTTTTTTTGTTTTGGGGGTTTTGGGGATGGGGGAGAGGGGTTGTTTGGGTTTGTTGTTGTTGTTGTTGTTGTTGTTGTTGTTGTTGTTGTTGTTGTTTAATTTCTTTCTTTCCTTCCAGGACATCTGCTCCAGGTCACTTGGCAGTGTATCTTCTGTATCCCTCACACTGGGACAAACTTCACATACGCTCCATGTTAACCCATTAACTATTAAGCAGACGACAAAATTATTAGGATTCTTAAACTAATGGTGACAAAAACCTTGGCAAGGATGTGAGATTCGTTTTTGCCGGTGGTGGTTTCCTTCCTAGAGCAGAACTTTCTAATAAAAAAACACCTTCCTCTCAGAGAGCTCCTTCACAGGTTAACAAACACGCCATGTGCCTGAATGCTGAAAGTCACTCCACTCGGTTTAAAAGGCTAAAGGAAAATTTCGTGATGCTTTACCTTCTAAAATGCTTTTGGCCAGCAAACTGGGCGCCCTTACTTGCCTCTGGTACACGGCTTTGCGCTCGAAATGATTCTGTTTCCCGGAGAGCCCTTTCTTGTCCTATAAACATAAGAAACATAGTCAATAATGCCCTGGAAGAAAATGTGAGAGAAACGGGAGAAGTCAGCAGATCGCCTAGAAACTCCCCCCGGTCTGACTGTATTTATTTTCCCGTCCCGTGTGAAAAAATGATTCCAAAGGAGTGAATATCAGCACACTTTAATCCCAGAGCGGTGACCCGAAGGCTCTGTCCGAAGCCTGCAAGTGGTGAGCAGGGTCCCCGGCCTTCGCCAACAAAGATCCACCCCAGACTCGCCCTGAATACCTTCACCAACGGGAGGCGGGTGGGAGACGTACCAGAGGGAGATGAAACCCATAGTCGGGGAGACAGGAGGAGCTGGCCCGAGAGACGGCCAGGGCCTAGGGCTGGGTCCCGGGCGCCCACTGTAAGTGATGCGGGGAGGGTTTGTCCCCGCGGTAGGGAGGGCGCAAAAGGGTGCTGGGGAATGAGGGAACCTTATGAGGGTCTCCCGGGTTTGGCTACAGACTCCAGATTGTTCACTAAACAACCGGGGCACATGAAGACGAAAAGAACTCTTCGTGGTCTCTGGAAACGCAGGACAAGGGAACCCCCGCCGTCACCGCCACGTCGGTGGGATTCCAGGCTCTTCCAACCCAGCCGGGCCCGCGGTGACCCACTCCGGACGCGGGAGGCCGAGCCCGGGACCAGGGTCACCTTGGAGCCTTTGGTAAGTATGGTGATTCACTCGCCAAGGAGTAAAATCAAAACTCCTCCCTTGCCCTAAGTCGGGGAGGAGGCCCTGGGAAGCCTCGCTGGCTCTGAGCTCTCCACGTGCAGGAACGCACAGAAAACAAACACGGAGGTTCACGAGGCTCTCTCGTAAAGAAAACCCTGGCTCTCCTCACAGATGGAGCCAGCAGAGACACGCCTCCACGGGCTACTCGGTATTTCACGGGGACAGCAGCTTCGGGCTGCATGACCTTGGTCTGCGGCCCCTAACTTCCCACACACTTCTTGGCCCCTCAGTAAACGGGCAGCGTGCTTTGCCTACCCCCAAACGGCCCCGGGACCGCGGGGACACTCGGCGCACCGCGCGCCCATGATCTTTCTCGCGATCAGCACTAGTTACGCAGTGGTGAGCCCGGTGCCGGACGCCCTGCACTGGCTCCAGCACTTTCGATCCCCCCACCTCCAAGACAGTGGAAATAAACTCGGAAACATTAAAAACAAAATGACTAGCTCATCGTGTCCCAGCTGGGCCTAGCCACTTTCGAGGCCTCTCTGCCTGCTTTTTAATAAGAAAACTTCTCTGCCAAGTTCCCCAGCGATGCCCACAGTCTCCTCCCTGCCGACCCTGCAGGCCAACGTGGACAGAGAAGCGTCCCCGCCACCCTTCCGAGAAAGTCCCAAGCGTCGCGAGGCCCCCGGCCGGGGAGTGTGTACAGCAGTCCGGTCCCCTCCAGCCCCCTGATCCCCATTGCGGTCCGGGACGCCCCGGCAAGGCGCGCGCCCCAGTCCGGTGGGTACGCACCTCCGTGGCCTGCTGCCTCCGGAGCGCCACCTGGGCGGCCATGACGCGCTGCCGCTCCACCACCAGCAGGCAG